TGTTTAAAAATATAAAATATTTTTAATTAAATTTTATCTTTTAATAAAATAATTATCTATTTTTAAATAAATATATTTTTTATATTTATTCCTATTAAATACCCTATAATAAATATAAAATTATTATCAATAAAAGCACTTTTAAAAAAATAATAATAATTATATCTTGAAAGACTAAAAATACTTTACATTTTTTAACATTCAATTTCTCAAAAAATATTTTACATTTTTTAATGAAAGGAGTACTATTTTTATCACTTATGAAGGAATTTAAAAAAAAAAGAAGAAGAAGAATTTGCATGAAAAAATAAAGACATGTAAGAAATAGAAAAGACATTTATTTAAGCATGCATTCAAAGCTCCTTCTACTAGTATTATTTCATAATTCAATTCTTGAAAATGTATTTGAAAGGCATTACTTGAAAGAAGATAGCCCCTTAAATGATATTCAAATGTTTTTAATAGATTAGTCTTATTATTGCTACTATGGGATACTTTGGAGGAAAAAAAAACAAACACCTACTGAAATCAATGCCTACCAGTTAATATTTTACATTTATATTCATATGTTGATTATTGATGTCTTGCAAGCAATGTTGTTCACTATTCAAAAAAGTATCATTAAAAAAATCAAAATTGACCATAGTATGATCTAAAAATGCTATTATGAACTTCTATGTTACGTTTTAAATTTTTCTTAAATCCAATATTGCTGTCATTAGCTTTCAATTATTTTCTAAAAAATATGTCAAACAACTTGGAAATTCAATTGTCAACCAATTTGAAGATGTGTGGTATTTTTTAAGAAAAAAATTAGTTTTCATAGCACATGCATACATTTTGATAGGTGTGTGAACTCTTTGATTAATTATCATCCTGACAAATTAAAATAACATTATTTAATCCACTAAAAATAGGAGACCCTATACTCCATAAAGGAAGATTTCATTAATTACTCACCCAGGAAATGTAGTGTTTTTAAATAAAATAGTAATTAAATTTGCTTATTTTAGATTATAAGTTATCATTTCACTTCCTAACATGCATATATTTCATGTGAGGTTTGGAACATCACCAATCATTAAAGAGATAGCTTCTCCGACCGGGACATTAAAAAAAAAAAACAAAAAGAAAAAAGCGTTTTGTTTTCTTGAATGGTAAAAAATACACATATTAAAAAAATACTCACGGCGAGGCTGGGAGCCGAAGTCAATCGTTTAATTTAAAAATTAACAATTTTTAAAAAATAATAATTTAATAATAATAATAATAATAATAATAATAATTTTAAAATTAATATTATAATAACATAAAGTGACTGATCATCACTTTATACGATCTCTTATGTAATTATACTTTTCATTTATCATCTTCACCATTAAAATATTATATATTTAATAAAATTTTAAGCATGATTATTTTTTATTTAATTTAAATAGTATAAAATATCACGAGTAAAAAATAAAAAATTATAAAATTTACATACTTTATTTATAATGTTTTTTCAACGTTAAGGAATGTATTTACAGACCCTTAATATAGAGTGACTCCGTCATTGCACATACTCAATAAAACACAATCTTTTTGTTAACTTAAAGAATAAAAGAATGTGCTAGACAACCAAGTTTTAAATTATTTAACACATTCTTGGGAACCAAAAAAAAGTTGAAACCCTGTGATATGGTTTAAAAAATTATGAATTATCAATATAATAGAAGAATTTTTATTTTATAGTTTAATGCGCTCAAATTATGCCAAAGTAAATATGTTTACCATTTATTATTTAACTCGTAGAATATATGGTATTATATATATAAGCAATGCCCCAAAATCAACAGTTTACATTGTGTTTAACTCCAAGGTTTGGTTGTAAAGCGAACATTTTTGTTCAACCTAGTTAGTCATGTGATTGAAGCAAAATATATTATACTCTTCCCGTTTCAAATTATAAAATAACTCTAAAAATATTTCATTATCTCAAAGTATAATATAATTTGATAAAAATAAAATTTTATTCATGATGCCTTTCAAAAAAATTAAAATGTTTATAAATTTAAAAGTTATATTCAATGAAAGATGTTTTTAAAAACTTTTATTTTTTTTAAGTGAGCTTGTAAAGTGTCCTTATTAAATTTTATGTTGAGAATCATCAATCTCCCCTCCCCCAAAAAAAAAATTGATGATAATGTCTCATTTTAAAAGTTGCAACCATATTTGTTAGGAAAAATCTAGACACTTCTCTTATCTAATCTTAAGCATGGCAATGGCAGTAGAGTAGTGAAATTTCTAGATACTGCTGGATAAATATGCATGTGTATCACTTATAAATATATATGTATATTAGTTACCGGGCATATGAAAGAGAGTGAAATAGATAAAAAAAATTAAATAATTACATTTGATTATGTCTTTAAAAAAGTAAATAAATACATTAATTAATTTACATATCAATCTTTATATGATAATTTAGATGTCAAAATTTTTTTATTTCCAATACAGTGAGTGTAAGAATTTTTCGTGCTCTCACATAGCTTCATTTATTATTATTTTGTGCGAATTTTTTGTGGAAAGAAGAAGAGGGTGAAATAAGGAAAGAGAAGAGAGGAAAGAAAGGGGCGTGTGACAAGAGTGAGAGAAGACAATTAGTGTGTGGGTCTAGCTTGTGGGTTGTCTGGGAGAAAAAGTAAGGTAAGAGAGGGAGCAGGGGAGAAATGTTTGTTTTACTCCTTATTTTAATTTTTTTTTATTTTTAAGGTATACTCATTATTTAAAAAAAGTATTCTCATTAAATAAATTATTTTATATTTATTTTATAATGAAATATCTTATTAAATAAGAATAAAAATAAAAAATAAAGTTAATTTAAAATAAATAATTATTTTATTTAAAGTGAGATTTAATTAAAAATATTTTATATTTTTAAATGGATAGAGTAAATTATAGTTTGAGTGAATAACAACAATATGTTTTCAGTTGAGTCCCTCTCTATGTTCATGTTCAAATCCCAATACTTTATTTACATGTAAAATATTATCTCAAATTATTTTATAATTAAAAATAAGATGAGCATTATCGCTTCAATTTTATGGGGAATATTGATAGCCAAAAAAAAAAAAAAAACGGCATGGAAAGGAACATAAACAAATATACAATCACTGCTACACGGGTCCACATATGGCCCTCATATGTTAACCTACAGTGGTCCTTAATTCTTATCGTTTATCTTATCTCGCGTACTTTACATTCCTTTAATTAAATTTGTGTTGCGTCGTGATCCTCGGGGTTTCACTTTAGTTGTTACGAAAGAAAAAGCTAGGATTGAATTAATAGTACACTACTGGGCTAGACTTGATAAACTAATTAATAATTATGCTGGCAACTCCCAAAAAACAAATAATCCACCTCAAAACCTTTTTTGATGCGGAAATAAATATCTGATGCAGAATAGTGTTTTAGCATGCATACAATAAAATTGTTCAAATGTAAATGGATTTGAATTGATTTAAAAAATTTTATATAAAATAAAATTAAGTTTAATAACTGACATAAAATTTAAAAAAAAATTAGAAACTTTAACTTTAAAATTTTGAGTTAAAAAGTTATATCTTCTGCTACTTTCACCCGTTTTCCCTCACCTCCTTTTTAAGTAATCACTCCTCATTCTTAATGCATACTGATTTTGCCACCCAAAATTTTCATATTAATAGAATTCAAAACCTCTGAATAAACTAGTATAACTTCTTCGTTGATAGAATGAATTGTACTTATTAGAGGGTTTATTTAATTTCTTGCAATTGGGATTGATGAATATTAAACGCATTAGTGGTAATATATTAATTTTTATAAAAAGGACTGGCATAAACTGTATCATAAATATTCTAAGTATTATTGCATCTAATAAATTATATTGCAGTGGTGGCAGGAGTTGGATTTTCTTCACTGTAAAGGAGAGAAAAAGATAAATCAATATAAATTAGAATCGTTAAATTAAATTTAAATTTAAAATTTTTAAAAATATATATTTAATTTAAATGATTTAAATTTATAGTCAAGAGATAATTAAAAAAAAACAGAGAGGAACCCACACATGGTGGCAGGACAGTACTGAGAGAAAGAAAGAGAGGGAAAAAATGGAAAGGGACCACGCACCAGTTGTAGCAAATCCGTGGTGAAGATCCTTCAACGACACCACGTGATTCACAAGGACACATCGTCATCAGAATTTACGAACACCGTGAACCCCATAAATACGGTTGATAAAATTTCCTGTTCTTTACTGCCACATTATCAGAATCATTTCATAATACAATGCTTCATATGCAGAGTCCTAACCCGTTTCATCAATTGCCAACTCCAATATTCAAAGCCAAAAGCAAGTTTCAGCGATGATCACAAGAACAGAAGGTAGCTTCTTTCTTTATTTCCAGAAATGATGCTCTGCTCTGTTCGCTGCTCGCGATGTTTGTCTGTGCAAAAGAAGTGACTGTGATTCCTCAAACACGTAAATACCACGGGATCAGAGCCTCGTATGCCACCAGTTTTGGGGTAAAGCAGCATCCAAATACGTTCGATTCGTATTTTCCATATTCTTACGCTACATCCCGGCAGTTATTAATTATCAATGTCGATGTGGGTGGGGTCAAAGTCATAGGCCGATCGCATAAAACAAATAATTACCACCAGAAAGAGAAGAAAGGGGGCTTTTCTGATGCATTTATCACATGACTGGAAGGGAAAGTCCCTTTGCTTTAGCTAGAGACGCTGCGAGTTTTTGACTCCACAACTTACCAAGTTTTTTCATTTTTATTTTTTTGGCTCGATTGCATGTAACGAAACAGATGCAAGTTTTCCCACGAGACCAGATATGGGGCAATAAAACATCAAAGGGAATTCATGAGGATCAAGAATGTCACCTTCTTTAAGATATTTCACCCAATATGAAGGGCCAACACGTTCACACAGAAACCCAGATGATGAACACATGGTGCACTCTGATCACATCTAAGGAATTTCATGATCAAATTTATTAGTATATACATAACAATCTAGATTGACAATATTGACACAAAATTACTCCCTTTTTTTTGATAATTTCACCCGAACTACCTATCCCTGCCCACACTTGATTTCCCCTGGTTCAAATCCAGCTTCCCAACTTAAATTACCTCAAAATTTAAACTAAGCTACCAGCAACCAAAAAAACAGAAACAAAGAGAAAGAACTACTGAAAACACTGAGACAGTAGCATGCTACAGAGTTTCCTGACGGGAAGACTCAAAATATCCCATAGCCCGACACCACAAGGAATAGCTTTATATCCCAATGTCGATGACCTATCGGACATCGCCAACTTTGGACGAAAGCGCTAAACGGAGTTGCTCCTGCGTGTAGAATTGACTGCCCATCCTCACTGTTGCTTGTTGGATCATCAAATCATTCATCACCGACACACTCGCGTGGTTCACGTCCAGGTCTAGCTCCTTCAATGCTGCCATCAACCTTGCCGCTGGGTGATTCTTCCTGCTGCACTGAATCCGAATCATCGCATCCCAACCGATAATCTTCACGTCGATATCCAAATCCGTGATCTTGCTTGCATGATGATTGGACGGCTTCGGTTCTTTATCCGGTGGAGGTGGCGCTGAGCCTTTGTGGGCTACCTCGAGCTCCTTCTTGACAGAATCCAATTGGTTCTGCAATTCGTTCTTGTCTGATTCTAGTCTCTGAAGCTTCGACTTGAGCTCAGTGATGTAAGAAATGGCATCACCCAGAAGGGATGCTTTATCCATCTTTGAAACGTTTGGAACCACGGCACGAAGCGCGTAGAACCGTTGATTGAGCTTCTCTCTCCTCTGCCTTTCAGCTTCAACATGATTCAGAGGCTCCTCTCTGCCATTTGCAGGTTTTCGTCCTCTCTTCCGAGGTTTTTTCTCTGGTTCTACCACTTTACTATCTACCTCCTTAATCACAGAAGCTTCGAGATCGGAATGATCAGAATCACCGCCGCCGCCGGTCTTCGTATTTGATGCAGGCAAAATCACACCTGAAGTGAAAGAAAGCATGCCTTCGTCATTGCTCCCCCTGGACGTAGGTGACCTCCTCTTCTTCTCCTCAGCATTGAGTTGAGATTGACCTGAAAGGAAATTCCCGTTTCCATTATAAGCGTTTCTCTTGCTCTCCCCGAAATTCAAAACCTCACCCGATTCGGGCTTCAAGGAATGCGAGTTACCGTTCTTCACACCGTCTCCGTCTAATCCATAGTCCGAAAAGTTGAATTCCCGGGAAAAGAAACCCTGGTTCAGCGAATGACGCTGCTGTTGCCGTTGTTGTTGGTGACTATGGTGAGCGTTTGGGATATGAATGGAACTTGGAGTCTCGGCTAAAGTTGCGGAACCTCTAGTATCCAATTGCATCGGCTTCGGATTGTTATTATGGCTGTTGCTAGAACTAGGCACAGAAATGGGGGGAACAGTAGTCACCGAATCCCTAATTTCAACTGTAGAAGGATCGTTGAGCCAGAGTGACGAAGGGTCGTTCTCACCCTGATCGGCAGCAGTTGAAGCATTTGACGGCCACAAAGAATTCCCCTCGGCGTTATTGAAATTGAACAAATCCCTGACCATATTCATCAGATCAGAGTTTTGGAATATCAGCTCCGTTGAGCCCAGTTCGACCACTCCACTCGCCGACGGTACACAAACCAAAGTCTGAAGCCCGAACAACTGACCCTGCCTCGCCCTCTCGCACGTCGAAGCCGCCAACCGCTCGGAACCAGCGACCCACACCGGGCTCGAATTGAGGAACGCCTGCCCCGGCAATCCGCCGCCGTTGTAAAACGACTGGGTCATCGAAACCAAAAAGAACCACTCGGTATCCGTTACTTCTTCGTCCACAGCGTCATCCGGGAAGGACGACGAGCCGGAGATTAGCGAATTAAGCTCGCGAAGAACCTTCTTCCGGTGCTCCTGCTCGGCCGCGGAAGATGCCGTCATTTTGGCCTTCCCCTTTCCTTTATCCTCCTCGCCTTTGTAGTACCCATCCCCCCAACCCAACACGGAGGTTCCCGAGTAATCACAAGAAGATTGCCAGAAGATAGCGTAGGTCCAGCTCTCACTGGCCTTTTCAATCAGCGCCTGGAGACGCTGTTGAAGAGTCTCCTGATTGAAGATGCAAGCCGAAAGCTGGTTTTGAGAGAAAGCTTTGGTGGGGTCAGTTTCAGTGGTGGTAATCGTAGAAGTAGAGGATTGCTGAGGAGGCCAGAGAGAAGATAGATCGGAGCCTGTGAATGCGTCCATGACGGAGGAGTTTTCGTCGGACCAAAGATTCATGGTTAACGGCAAGAGATACTATGTCCTCCCATCCACCAGGGACAAGCACTGTGCTTGGAGATGAACGAGAAGCACAAAGCGTTATGGAAGGAGGAGGAAGTGGGAGGTGGTGGCGGCAATGGACGGGAGAGGGAGAGGTTATGTTAAATATGAAGAACGCATTTGGATTTGAGATTTATTTGAAGTGCATTTGGGTTGAATTTTAGATGTTGGAGGGCAGAAAAGGAAAGTTGGAGTTTGTGAGTAAAAGAGAAGCCGATTTAATCGAACGAGAGTTGGGAAAAAACGGCGTCGTTAACCAATGGTAATAGTGGAAGTGACTCGAGCGGACTATTTTTGGCTACGGGACGTTAAAGTCGGAGAATCTAGTCAATTACGCTGCAACCTGCAAGCGTTGGAGTTGTGAGTTGTGGCACAAATAGGGTTAGATTTTGCAGCTTGAGTGACACGTGTCATATGATGTTAGGCACTTTCTCGGCGAACTCAGTAAATTTTTCTCTCGAAAAACTTTTCAGAGTGACGGCCCAAAAGCCTCCATGCCTAAGAAAGGAAGGCGCGATTATTGTTTTAATATATACTACTAGTACTTTTTAAAATAAATGTGGGTTTTAAAATACTAAGGCATTTAATCATGACTTACGATTAAAGCTATGAAATAGCTTTTGATAAAGATTTGCAAAAATATGTGTATACTGCTAATTACTATTTGCACAAATTTACTACTTTTTGCCAAATAATAGGAGGCCAAACACCAATCTGCGTTATAAAATCAACAACTCTAGAGTTATGTGTTTACGTGTGGGGTAAAAAGGTTATCGTTTTTGAGAGAAGAGCACGAAACTTTCAAAACATTATCCGGAATTTATTTTGTTCCTATGTTGTAAGAGGGACCCCAACTTAATTATGCACACACATGGATAATAAACAAGAGTAAGATTTCTTATTTAAACAGTATTGTTTACTATCAGTGCTTTGATTATCATTGGTTTTCATATTATCATTAGTTTTTATATTTATCATTAGTGATGTTGAAATAAAATTATACCATAACCAGTCGGGGTTGATCCACCTTCTAATATTGGGGTCCGATAATTAAGGCCAGTCAGTTAGTATCGACCAATCAATTAATTACACACAGCTGTCTCAACATATCAAGCTATATCAAGCTTTTCTTATATATGTCAATGGCAGGTTTAAATTTAAGACCCCTTCCAAGCAACGGAAGCAGCCGGCATTGCCATTGCCAGAACAGCTTAATTGTGTTGACATGTGCTGTAAAAATTACTCCCTTAATTAAAAAATAAAAGCTATTTTTTAAAAGATTGAATGTTTAAAAATATAAAATATTTTTAATCTTTAAAATATAACCATTGTCTTTTTTTTAAGTATCCATTTTGAATACATTACTTGATATTTATTTTGGAGTAGAACATTTTGTTAAATATGTATAAATATAAAAAGATATAAGATTAATTTAAAGATAAATAATTACTTTATTAAAAGGTTATATTCATTTAAAAAAACTTTATATTTTTAAACGAATGGAGTATTATTTATCATGAACTTTTATAGTCACCCAACCCCAACTGCATCTGATTTCAAAATATTGAGGATGACATAAATGAATCTACTTGTATGTATATAGAACAATTATAACACCGTTTTCTTTTTTATTCGATAATGGAAAATGTGTATCATAATATATTAGTGCATATACAACTTTTTGAGCAATTATTTAATGACTGAAAACCTACAAAAATAGGTTCAACAAATTGGTATAAAACCTACTCCCTCCGTCCGGCTATATAAAATATTTTTAATTAAATTATGTAAACTAATAAAAATTGTTTATCTACTTAAAAACATAATAATATTTTAATTTTTTCTTAATTATTATAAATAAAAAATAAATATTTTTTTCAAAATAAATTTATAAATATTTATTTTTTTCATTTCTAATGTAATGAAGGTGTAATAGTTTATTTATTAAAAAATATGTTGATAATTTTTTATATTTAGAGATAAAAAATTTTAAAAAAACCTCTTGTATATAGAATAGAGGGGGTAAATGATAAGCATTAATTCCCTTATTTCTTCCAATCTGAAAAATATCTCTTGTTGGTTTATTGTTCTCCGAGCATGCTTATAGACGAATGTCAAGTTATTTATATTCTCATTAGTTTTATAACAGTTTTCTCTTGGGTTTTTGTTTATATAATATTTCTTGTTACTGTTTTTGCTACTGTTACTCTTTGCAGCTATATTACAGGGGACGTTTGGCATGCAAAATAAAATAGCACTGTGCACATTATTATTCGTCAATGGATGGATGATAGGTCAACAGAGGTGATAATTTAATTGATCTAAATGTTTTTCAAAAAACCTGTGCTTAATTCTCTAACATGCAAATCATGTAGCTTCTATATGTATGATATGCTTTAAATTATATTATTAATATTACTTTTCTTCATAAAGTTCATTATGCTTGCATGCAATCTAACAAAAAATTATAATTAATAATTATGTGACATAATGAGGTTATACTAATTTGAACCGTTAATAAAAATAAGAGAAAGATAATTTTTAAAAAATTGAAAACTGTACTGATATATTTTATGTTGATCATTAGTACTGATAATCGATACTTTATCTAGTCCCCTGGTGTTTTAAATATCTTTCCCGTAGATTAGGAATTTCAACTACATCCTCATTAATTAAAAGAATTGCACCGTGTGACCATGCCATGGTTAAGTTTTTTTTTTTTAAATATTAAAATTGTAGGATAAAAAGGGCCGTCGTTTGATATTCTGACTAGGCGTCTTATCAAGCTACATACCCTCTGGTCCTATAAATTGTAGAATGTCAAAGAGACATACACATACATATGTTTTACAGGGCATTGTAACTCGTATTATTGTTATATTATACACGTAAAATTGAGCAAAATGATTTTTATTTTTTAGGAACACTTGTGCCCTTTCACATTGTACGTGCGTTCATATCCCTATCTAGTCCTTTTTAATTATAAGTGTTCTAGACATTTTTTTTACCCTTATCTACAAAGCTATTATGTTACTTTATCGGTTAAAAAGTATCACAATTTTTTAATTATAATTTTATTAATTAAAGAGATAGAAATATTGTTATAAAAAGATTAGCTAATAAAAACGTGGAATGAACACTTTATTGTTTATGTTTGGTGATTATACTATCTTGAGTTTCATTTTCAAGAGTATCATTAAAATCAAAAGGTTAAAATAAAACATTGCTCTTTCTATATCAAATTATAAAATATTTTGAGACAATATTATGGATACTAATAAAATATAATAATGATATTTTACAAATTTATTTTTTAAAAATAAAATTTTAAACTTTCAAAAACTTCTCTACATATTTAATCATTAAGTTATAATATCATTTTAATTCTATCTTCACTTAAAGGGTAATGTTAAAAGAATATTATTAATAAAATTTTATATTTTGAGATAACAAAATTTTTTTAAAATTATTTTATAATTTTTGCTAGGAGGAATATTTTATTTGTTGTACAAGACAATTTATTATTGATTGAGAGCTTGAGAGCATTTTTTAAATTTTTGTAAAACAATTTATGGTATCTTCATTAGTTACGTATAGACTATAGAGTGTAATTGTGGGGCCTATGAAGTAGCAGCCACCGACCATAGAGAAAATGCCCAAAAAAAATTAAAATCTAATCCTATCTAAATTATAATATCATTATAATTATGGGAAAAAACATCAAAAACCATGATTTCAAAGGTATCAAAAGTTGGCCGATGAGCTAAGAGATTTGCATATCTATTTGTTTCTTTATAAATGTGGTCAAATGTGACTATTTAATATTCCATAATAAGTTTTTTAATTTTCCTGACAGTGTTTTGTAATATATGACTCTCAAAGTAGGAGTGGTTAATAAGTAACATCACCTCTATCAAATTAGAATGGACATTGACTTTGGGCAAATTTGCATTCCAACAAAGGTTAAGACTTTCAAAAATTTAGTTCTGTTGTTGTGCTGGGTTGATATCTTAAGTATTTAAAAAATCCTTCGATTTATTTTTCTTTATCATTTATGATAATGCTTCCACAAGCTATTGCGCTATTAATGTTAACAGAGTCATCTATGTCTAGTCTACCCCATTTAAGTTTAGGTGGGCTCTATTTAGTACCATTTGTATAGTCTCTTTTGCCCAAGTAGGTGATTTTAGATAAAAGTTTTAAATCATTGTTCATCTGTTGGGTGCTAGATAAGGCAATATTATTGTTTGGGACCTCGTCTTCTAAGTATAATGTCTTACATCTAATTTTCTAGATATTTCAGCAAGCTTGTGTAAAAAATTTCTATCAGGACGTTCTTCTTATTTTCAAGCTGCCTGCTTCAATCTTTGCATTCTCAATTATCCAATCTTGCACATCAAGAGAGGAGAAGGTGTTTATTTTTGTTGGATTAACTAATTTTAATCAAACCTCTTTGGCTTCCTCACAGTCGCATGAATATATGAATTGAAGATTCAAAGGAGTTATAACCAAGAGGACAAGTACGTTGATGGGAAGTATTTCCAATTGTATGTTCGTGGTTAAGTTGGAGATGATTCAAAGTAGCCTTCCATAGAATTTTTTTATTTTTTATGTGTAGGCCATTTCTAAATCTTAATTTATATATCAGAGTGATGTTGTTCCTTATGAGATTCCACAGCTTTGTAAGCAAATTTAATAGAAAAATTATCATTAGAGGATGGTCTCCAAAAAAGAATATCTTCTTCACCTTATTGGTTAGGAAGTTGTGCAAGCGAGATTTGTTTAATCACATCAAGATGGAAATAACGACTTAAAAGATTCATGTTCCATCCTTCTACATTCTTGCGAAAGTCATAAACCCTAACACAGAAAATAGAATTGACATCGAGAAAAGCATGCTTAACAAGAAGGTTAGGAGTAGAGGCCATTTGTCATATTAAAATGATATTTGATTTTCTTTGACAATTTTTCAACCTACATGAGTTATGAATTCATTTCAAACGTTACAAATATTATTTCAAATATAAGAGCTGGTATTTGGTTTAACTATCATTAAAATTTTGAATCTATTGTATTTTTTTTTCTATCACATAAAA